AAAAAAAAAAAAAGAATAAGTTCCCTTTTTTTATTTCAATTCAATTAATTTATCAACTTCAATTCTAAATTAACAATAAATAAAGTAATTCTCTACTCATATATTTCTTTAATATATCCTCAGGAGAGATTTTTCACCCAACATCATAAAAACTAATTAGGAATTTTCTTGTGATGAGCAGCTCTGGACTTGATTAAAAACGTCCAAGTGCAAGCAATCATTGGACCAACAAGTTCAATGCAGGCGAATATTATGATAAATCTCGGGAACAAATCTCAAGTGCCCATCATCTCTTTCTCCGCAACAAGTCCTTTCCTTTCCTCCCTAAGGAGTCAATATTTTATTCGAGCAACCCACGACGACTCATCTCAAGTCAAAGCTATTAGTGCCATTGTTCAAGCCTTTGGATGGAGAGAAGCTGTGCCCATATATGTTGAAAATGAGTTTGGAGAAGGAGTTATACCTTATTTATCCGACGCCTTGGAAGAGGTTAATGCTCGGATTCCTTACAGGAGTGTTATCCCTCTTGGCGCCACTAATGAGGAAATTAGAAGGGAATTATACAACTTAACGTCAATGCAGTGTAGAGTCTTCATTGTTCATATGGACATGGATCTTGGGTCTCGGGTTTTCAACATGGCCAAAGAGATTGGAATGATGGGTGAAGGATATGTTTGGATAATAACTGATGGGATGACTAATCTTTGGAGTATGATTGATCGTTTTGATATGGATTCCATGCACGGGGTATTGGGTATAAGGATTTATGTTCCGAAATCAGAAAAGGTTAACACTTTCAAAGTACGATGGAAAAGGAAATTTCTGCAAGATAATATAGTGAATGCTGAATTTGACATTTTTGGATTATGGGCTTATGATGCTACATTTGCCCTAGCCATGGCAGTGGAGAAACTTGGCACAACAAATTTCAGCTTTGATGCATCAAATGTTTCAAAAAGTGCAAGAACAGATCTTGAATCTTTTGGGGTTTCTCAGGCTGGCCCCAAACTCATCCATGCTTTGACAAGTACAAGATTTAAAGGCCTCAGTGGAGAATTTGGGTTTATTAATGGGCAACTTGAGTCCCCAGTTTTCCAAATTATTAATGTAAATGGAAATGGTGAAAAGGTGATTGGGTTCTGGACGTCTAAGTATGGACTAGTTAAAAGACCAGATTTTACCAATGTAATGGGGTATTCAACTTCTAAGGCCAATCTCGGAACCATCATTTGGCCGGGGGATACACATTCCCCGCCTAAAGGCTGGGAGATTCCAACTCAAGGGAAAAGGTTAAAGATTGGAGTACCAGTGAAGACTGGATTTAGTGAATTCGTCAAGCTTCCACCTGATACACATCCCAATTCTAAAGTCATCCCCATGGGTTATTGCACAGATGTTTTCAATGCTGTCATGGAGGCAATGCCATATGCAGTTCCTCATGATTTCTATGCCTTTGGAAATGCTGACCATGAGATGGCTGGAACTTATAATGACCTGATCGATCAAGTCGTCTATGGAGTAATTAAATAACAACTAACCCCTTGAGTTTACATATTACTTTCTTTGGGTAGTTTGAATTTCTTAATTAACAAAACACTTTGGTGAACAGAACTATGATGCGGTGGTAGGAGACATTTCCATCATCGTCAACAGGTCATTTTACATTGACTTTACATTACCATTCACGGAATCTGGAGTGGTAATGGTGGTTCCTATCAGAGATGGATCAAACAAGAATGCATGGGTGTTCTTGAAGCCTTTGACGTGGGATCTTTGGGTCACTAGCGGTGGCTTCTTCGTCTTCATCGGGTTTGTCATCTGGGTTCTTGAACATAGAATCAATGAAGATTTCCGTGGACCACCTTCGCATCATGTTGGAACTAGCTTCTGGTTCTCCTTTTCGACCATGGTTTTTGCACACCGTAATGGTCCTTTTAACATATTTTAGCTCTTTAGCTCTTTTAGGGTGTAGAATGGAGCTAGTCAAGCTTGAATTCTAGCTTGAGATTTAAAGCTCTAAAAATTAGAAGAAATAAATCATAGCTGATTTTGATTTGTGTTTTTAGGGGAAAGGGTGGTGAGCAATCCAGCAAGGTTTGTGGTGTTGATATGGTGCTTTGTGGTACTCATTCTCACACAGAGCTATACTGCCAGTTTAGCTTCTCTTTTAACAATTCAACGGCTGCAGCCTACGGTGACTGATGTGTATGAGCTGTTAAGGAGAAAGGAGAGTGTTGGGTACCATAAGGGCTCCTTCGTCAAGGAAATAGTCCAGGGGTTGAAATTCGACCCATCAAAGTTGAGGACATTTAATTCAGTGGAGGAGCTTGATGAACTCTTTACCAATGGAAGTGCGAATGGTGGAATCGCAGCTGCTTTCGATGAAATTCCCTACATGAAGCTATTTCTT